TCACTCATGTCCCTCGGGGACACTAGATATATCAGTACCTATTATTTCACTATTCACATGAAGGCGCCCCCGGGGCGCGCCTTCCATTATTCGTCAGAGAATATGTTATCATTGCCCTATTATGTCACTCATGTCCCTCGGGGACACTAGATATATCAGTACCTATTATTTCACTATTCATATGAAGGCGCGTTCCCGGGGCGCGCCTTCCATTATTTCATCAGAGAATATGTTATCATTGCCCTATTATGTCACTCATGTCCTTCGGGGACACTAGATATATCAGTACATATTATTTCACTATTCACATGAAGGCGCGTCCCCGGGGGGCGCCTTCCATTATTTCGTCAGAGAATATGTTATCATTGTCCTATTATGTCACTCATGTCCCTCGGGGACACTAGATATATCAGTACCTATTATTTCATTATTCACATGAAGGCGCGTTCCCGGGGGGCGCCTTCCATTATTTCATCAGAGAATATGTTATCATTGCCTATTATGTCACTCATGTCCCTCGGGGACACTAGATATATCAGTACCTATTATTTCTCAGGGGACATGAAGGCGCGTTCCCGGGGGCGCGCCTTCCATTATTTTGTCATAGAATATGTTATCATTGCCCTATTATGTCACTCATGTCCCTCGGGGACACTAGATATATCAGTAAATCAGGTAAATTATAACCAAAATTTAACTTCTTTTGAAAGTTCAGCAAGTTAAGAATAACTTAAATTAAAACGTTATGTGAAGTTTGAATAAATTAGATAAAATGTTATGGATAATTGAATAAATGTGAAGTGATAAGTTGATTGTGACATTGAAATTGTATGGAATGAGCATTGAAATGTGACATTGAATAAATTGCCAATTCACCCCCCTCTTGGCCGATTCCGTCAATCGATGAACTCAACATAAGTTGATTTTAATGTATACGTTTTAATATATATGTTAATGATAAAATCATATGTATGGATAAATTTAATTTCAATTTAAGTATTGTGAACTATAATTGGAATATAACTTTTAATTTCGAATACAATTGGAATATTAAGTTGAAATTTAATGTTAAATTTCGAATACTATAATTTATATTTTAAATTTAAATTTGAATAATATTATTTTTATTTTTATTTTAAATTTCGAATAATATAATTTGTATTTTAAAAACATTTATCAAACATTTAATGTTAAATGTGAATAAAAAATAACATTAAAAAATATGTATGTAACAACCATGAAACATTTAAATAACATAACCAAATTACATAAAATTCTGAAATATAATTATTTAAATAACATTAAATATAACTGGATCACCGATGTCGTCATCTCGAATGAGTTCCACATGGTGGTGGTTGTCTATTTCGTGGAGGATTTCTTCGTGGAACTTGTTCTTCAGTCTCCTCATCTTCACTATCATCATCAGCAACATTTTCTTCATTTGGTGTAGATGACGCTGCTGTGAATCTCACTGCTGTAACTTGAAACTCATTGGGATGTCTGTGATCCAGATGGAGATTGAGGTGTCTGAGAACCACCACCAGCCAAATAAGATGCATATGAACCATATGTTGGATCATTAAACATAGTCGTATATGCACCTCCATATGGTATAAAACCCTGCGGGCTAGGCATGTAACCTGGCGGGCTAGGAATGTAACCCTGCGGGCTCGGAATGTAACCCTGCGGGCTCAGAATGTAACCCTGCGGAGATGGTATATAAACTGGTGGGCTTGGCATATGAAGTGGAGGGCTGGGCATGTACCCCTGCGGCATCGACGAATAAGGATGTTGTGGTGGGACTGATGCAGAACCGGTAGCGCCTTCTCTCCGTCCACGCGTCGGGGGACGAAGATATTGAGACGGTTGACGTCTTTCTCGGCGCCTAGGAATGTTAACCCCTCGTGCTTCCGCCGAAAGTAGAAACGGCTTCCCATTTTCATTAAACCAGTCCATATAGTTATCTGTAACCATATGACCAGTTTCAGCGTAATATTGTCGAGGGGCCACCAGTGTATATCGGTTCTCCCAAAGCGCAATCCAATCTCTGTGTCTCACCACCCAGTTAACATCTTTCTTCCCTCGTCTATCTATGTTATGCACGTCGTCTAAATTCCTAGGAGCTCCAGGAATATATTGCGTACAACCATACTGACGGAGCACGCGATCAACTGGATGCCACTCAATAATAGCATAACATATAAGAGGTATAACCGGTATCCATACCTCTAATGACCCACTAAGGTGGGGTGGGATGCAAGCTTTCACTTCATCGCTCGCATAAGGTATCCACTGAAACTGAAATATAAATATACAATTCAAATAAATAAAATATTCTAATTATATCTAACATTTTAAATTAAAATATTAATAATTAAACAAATTTAAAAACATACCTCAGACCCAGCTTTCGTATCAATAAGTAAACGAATTTCCTCTAACCCAGTAGGTATACTTTTATGGTCCTTTCTTTTCATCGACCACCTATGAAATATAATATAAACTAAATATCACCATATTTAATTGAAAATATTTAAATCAAAATTTAGTTCGAAAATTACCTCAACAATAAGGGGAATACGTATGGTTCATTCACGATCGGGCATAAGAAAGGCATGCGGAACCACACCCATGATTGTAGAAGCAGAAGACATCCACCGATAGCAGTTTTCTTATAATTCGTCGGCCGACACATTTCTCTAAAGAGAAATGTCAAAACTGCAGCACCCCAACTATATCTTCCAGCTTCATCAAAATCGATCAGATGCCGCAACCACATACAATGCACCTGGTTGCGAGATTTGTCGGGCATCAATATTCCTCCAATTATTCGTAGAATATATGCCCGAGCACATGCCTTTGCTTTATCCTCTGAAGCATTTTCATTTAAAACCTCAAAATTAGCTTTCAACCAAGATAAAGCTATTCTACCTCCATTAAACTCTGGCGGAGCAGCTCTAAGATAATCAATGCACATTGATTGCCAATCACCATCCGCCATACCACACATCATATTTCTGTCGACGGGAAGCCCCAGATGCATAGAGACATCCTCCAATGTAATTGTCGCCTCTCCACATGGAAGGTGAAAAGTGTGTGTCTTGGGCCTCCACCTCTCAATCAGTGCAGAAATTAGGACATGTTCGAGTTTGCAACTGCCTATAATTGTTGCAATATACCCGAACCCGGCAGAAGCCAAATATGGCAAAATACGTTTCGGTGTCGGTATACGTGGATTTTTAATAAAAGTCTCTAAAATACGATCAGCATCCTAAATAATATACATTATAAAAAATAAAAATTAATATAAATTCATAATAACTTTAAAATAAAAATCAATTTAAATATTAACATTAATTACAAAAAATATTACCATATCGCTAAAATGTCTGGAGATATGATCAATATCCAATCGTAACAGCATTTCGTTTTCCATTATAACTGTAGACAAAACAATATAATTAGCAAAAAAATTAATAATTCTAAATAAATAATAATTATATAAATATTATTTTAATAAAAATATAATATTACATAAATATATTAATATAAAAAATAATAACTATTAAAAAAATACTAACATAAAAATAAATTTCTTACCACTAATAACAAATTTAAAACTCAAATAGATGGAGAATTTGAGTTATATAAGAGAGGAGAAGATGATTTTGGTGTGAATAATGAGGGAGGGTTGAGGGGGTTTATATAGGGGAGGAGGAGGGGTAGTTAGGAAAAACGGATGGGGGCATTTATGACATTTAATGGAAGGCACGTCCCCGGGGATGCGCTTTCCACACGTGTCTGCTGAGTTGGCAAAGGCGCGTCCCCGGGGATGCGCCTTCCACACGTGGCATCCAACTCAGCGAAAACACGGGTAAAGCGCGTCCCCGGGGACGCGCCTTTGCCAACTCAACAGAAATGGTACTACTTCTGAAAATATTGGTCAAACGGTGCCAGAAAGGGAAAATTTAAAAAAAAAGTGTCAATTATGTCAAATAGCCAACAATTATTTCTTCTGTTCATGTATACGATGCATCTTTGTTGAAAACAACCTACTACATTCTCTGTTTTTTGATTCACTTATTATTTATAAGTTTTTATTTTATTAAAATTATTTTATTTGAAATTATTGGACCTTTATTGAAAATCAAAGATATCCAGTTTTAAAAGAATTTTTTTTCGGATAAAGAACCTCAAATACCTAAAATCATTCAAGAAATCACGATAATTTGACATAATCTTGATAAGGTCGTGTAACTTATCAAAATTAAATATATTATCAGTTGAGCTTAACCTATCAATCTACAATACTCTACGCATAAGACAACTCTAAGGATTACTATAAAATCTCTCGATAAAAGGTTAAAAGAAATGATGAAGCCTCTCTCCTCTTACTATATCCCTTCTATCTTCTCATGAAGACAAAAGATATTGACACCGATCAACTATCATTCTTTTACTGACTATGACTTTTCATCGAAATCCAAAGAAATAAATCACTCATAATTACTGTATCTCGTTTGTTCTCATCAACGAAAATCAAATCAAAATTGATTCGAATTTCGTATATAAATTATATTTAACCTCATCATTCAAAAATCATATCTATCAATCATTCGCCATCAGAGTCAGGTAGGGGAGTTGGTCATTTTCTATCATTTTCCTCTGTTGCTTGAACTCCATAATGAGGAGTCAAAATATTAGAATCCCCCAGAGAAAAAGAAAAAGGCTTATGGCCGGCATTGGTCGATTCTTCGCTATCCATGAGTGAATCAGCTTTTGGATGACTCGTTAATTTCAGAACCAAGACATCATCAAGCAGTCGTTTCGAAGCATGGAGAGATGTCGAATAAGCCAATAGTGCATAAATGGGTAAATTTTTACATAAGAGGGTTCGTAGCAAAGCAGGATTACTGTAAAGCCATAGACTATAAGCAAAAGCAGGGAAGATCCAACATTCCCAAAGCCAAGACGAGATTGAAAAAAAGGGCTAGTTTATCATGACTTTATTTCAAATAACAAGTTCCAACGTACAATCACAAGTTTGATTACCATTAAAAACACCAGAATCCATTGATCATATCACCAAAATTAAAGGCCATTTCAGAATATCATATCCCTCCACGAAGCCTCAGCACAAGGTGGAGAGTAGACTCTTTCTGGATATTGTAATCTGCAAGTGTCCTGCCGTCCTCCAGCTGCTTGCCGGCGAAGATCAACCTCTGTTGGTCCGGAGGGATCCCTTCTTTATCCTGAATTTTAGCCTTCACGTTGTCGATCGTATCCGAGCTCTCCACCCCGAGGGTACTTGTTTTTCCCGTCAAGGTTTTGACAAATATCTGCATACCGCCACGAAGCCTGAGGACCAGATGGAGAGTCGATTCCTTTTGGATATTGTAATCGGCCAAGGTGCGACCATCCTCCAGTTGTTTGCCGGCAAAGATCAATCGCTGCTGATCCGGAGGGATGCCTTCTTTATCTTGAATCTTAGCTTTGACATTATCTATGGTGTCGGAGCTTTCGACTTCAAGAGTGATAGTCTTGCCGGTCAGGGTTTTCACGAATATCTGCATGCCACCGCGGAGACGGAGGACCAGATGCAGAGTCGACTCCTTCTGGATGTTATAATCGGCGAGTGTACGGCCGTCCTCCAGCTGCTTGCCGGCGAAGATCAAACGCTGCTGATCCGGAGGGATGCCTTCTTTATCTTGAATCTTAGCTTTGACATTATCTATGGTGTCGGAGCTTTCGACTTCAAGAGTGATTGTCTTGCCGGTTAGGGTTTTGACGAATATCTGCATGCCACCGCGGAGACGGAGGACCAGATGAAGAGTTGACTCCTTCTGGATATTATAGTCGGCGAGGGTCCTTCCATCTTCCAGCTGCTTCCCGGCGAAAATCAACCTCTGCTGGTCCGTAGGAATCCCTTCTTTGTCTTGAATCTTAGCCTTGACATTATCAATTGTGTCGGAGCTTTCCACTTCAAGAGTGATAGTCTTGCCAGTCAGGGTTTTAACGAAGATCTGCATACCACCTCGGAGACGGAGGACCAGATGAAGAGTCGATTCCTTTTGGATATTATAGTCGGCGAGGGTCCTTCCATCTTCCAGCTGCTTCCCGGCGAAGATCAATCGCTGCTGGTCCACAGGAATGCCTTCTTTATCTTGAATCTTGGCCTTGACATTATCTATAGTGTCTGAGCTTTCAACCTCTAGGGTGATTGTTTTTCCGGTGAGGGTCTTCACAAAGATCTGCATCTTCGACGATGAGTAAAAGAAGTAAACGCTAGAAAAGACGACAAGAGTTTTATATATCGAAAGAGATAGAAGAGGATATTCAAGAGCACGATAGAACTATTGTTGTTGTTGAATGCAAAATTCGAAGGGAGGATTTGGTTTATATTGAAGAAAGAGGATGACCGAATCTGGAAAGAACTTGGGGATGTAGAAGGTCCTAGAACTAACGGGAAAATGCTATTTTTTACTTTGACAGGAAGGAAAATAAAAATTCCAACGTTACCTGCTGACCTGTATCAGCAGTTACGTGGTCGATACGAACAATAAAACTGAGCTGGCGTCATGCATGATGCTTAATAGTGTTTGCTAAGCTCCCCCGCTGCTCTATATTCATCTGGAATACTATTTTAATTTAATTAATTAATTTTTTTAATCAAACAAGGTTTAAAGTTAAAGATCCATTTACACAATATAGATTTTTTTAAATTTAAAATTTTTAAATTAATTATTGGTATTAGATCTATTAATCGATCAATCCAGATCAGATTATACATAAATTTATCATTGAGACAACCTTTAAAAGTTTAAATTTGAATTATCTTTTAAGAGATATTATATTTTATTTTTATATTGAATCATCTATTATCATTCTTATTTTTATATTTAAGTTTGGGTTTGGTTTGGATTTGATTTAGGGTTTGGGTCTGATGCGTGAGTGGTGCAAGGGTCTTGGTTGGCCCCTCTTATTGCTATTTAGATTGAATTTATTTTTTTAATGAATATATTCTTATTTTTTATTATTAATTTCAGTCGTTAATTTTTATTTATACAATAATCATAAGTTAGTATATTTTTTTTAGTTTTACGGTGCATAACTAGATCCTACCTATCTCTATTACTTATACAATGATCAAGTTACTCAATGTAAAGCTAAAATATTTTACACATATTTAAGATAATTGGATGAATAAAAATTAATTATGAAAGAATAAGAAAATAATTTAAGACGTTTATTTTTACTTATCCAAACTATCTTAAATTAATGTAAAATTAAAAGTTTTCTAGTGGATCCTAACCATGTTCTGATATGATTATTCGGCTGCTGATGGTGGACTTTGGTTAATGATCACTTGGACTCATTTTCAGTAGGCTCGCAATTTTGTTGCTGGTTCTGCAACCGCTGGTGCTGTTTTTCAGCGTTGGTGTTGCTATGTCTGGTGAAAATTTTAATTGCTGGGGGTGTGACTGAAACTTCTGCAGCTAATGCTTCATTCAGTGCTGCCAAATCAGATTTTCAAGAGATTCATATTTTAGTTCAGATAGAGTGGAACTTTCAGGTTAAATCAACATGTTGATTCTCTGAAATCCTTCTTCATTTAAGCCTTGTTATTGTGTCATCATCATCATCATAACAACAACATTGACAATTTTTTAAATTCTAAGCAAACTTCATAACCATGACCTCAATTACACGATCTTTAAAACTTGTGTTGTCCAAATGCAAATACATTATCCATCAATAAGCATGGCAAGCCAATGGGAAAAACTTGCTCATTGTCTATGCTTCTGCGGAGAGTACTCAAGTTCAGATACATACTAAATTCTTACGGTTTACCAGTAACAATCACCGATAGGTTATTCATATTTATCAAGGAAAGGCATTAATTCAGAAACTTTCTCCATAGCTTGAAGACGAAATACCAATTCATTGTTCTGACTTGCAAGTCCAAAAGAATCATACCAATATAATTTACTCTTGAAATTTAGATAAAATATTAATTTAATCTCTAAATTCGATCAAAATTTCTAATCACAAACCCTCACTCATCACTGTTACCGATCACTATCATCTACTTGTTATAAAAAACTTCCATCTTTCTCATCTTTTTCCACATCAATTGCCAGTCCGGGGCTGAGGGGAACAACCACATACCCATTATTTAAAAAACTGCTAAAATTAATTTTGTATATTAATGGGAGAAGAAATAAAAAAGAAAAATTTATACACCTTTTAAAAAGCTCAGCAAGTACAATGCATAAACCCTGGTCCAAAATCAAAACCTAAATGAAACATAAATTTATAGTGCAATGGAATAATAAGGGGCATGGTGAAGTAATATTATATCAATTGCAGGCAGGCAATGGCTAGTTTTATGAATTTTGGTTTACTCTCAGATTGTTAATTCTATAATCATCATCTTTACCCTGAATGAATTTTCCAAACATTTCCTCATAGACCTAATACAGTTGCAATAAGACGAACATAAAGGTGCCTAATAATCCCTGCTTGCATGGCTTTATGAAGCTCATTGGGATATTGTAGAATATCATCATTATACATCAAGGCGTCTATGTACTACACAATAATCCAAAGCTCAAAAAGCATCAATCCTGTAATAAACCAGCCCTAAACAAATGCAAAAAATACTGAAACAAAAGAACAAATAATCAAAAGCTACAACTGAAATAGTAGGGGAAGAAGAGTAATGCTGGGGGTTCAGGAGGCGGAAGTGTTGAGAAGTCTGAGGCTGTAAACATAATTAACTATATATAAAGTGATAAAATGAATTATTTTTTCCAACGAAAACATGAGAAATATCACTAGTTTGTAGTATGGACACTTTCTAGAACTCACACATCGACATAAACCCTTTCATGGCAATTACCATTCAGAGGTAGTTGGGAATGAGATACAAAAAGTAATATTCTTGTTTTCCTTCTTTGAAACAAGATGAACATGACTTACAATCATTGAATGCTCGAATTGTTTAACACCTGTAGAGGAAAGACAAATTAATAAGAGAAATTCCTCCGTCCAAGTCAGTAATGAATGCATACGTTTGCAGTTCCTGCAGAACTGACACCAAACAATGTGTTTGAGACCAGATTATGAATCATTCATAAATGAAACAGGAGTTAAAGAGGAAAGGTTTTACTTGCAATCTATTCCCTGGAATCTCAAATTTCCCAACCTAAGCACCAAAGTACTGTATCAAGTCATCGTCAAGTAGTTCATCTAGTGAACTTGTACCATCAAATGGGAGTTCAAAGGGGCTGTGAAATCCACCAAAAAATGACGGATCATTTGTTGGAGAAGCAAAGGGATTATGAACAGCTCGATCTTGCTCATTATGCAATAGGTGATGCAATTCCCCCCCAGCAATTTCATGTTCATTTCTACCCGGTGCTGACACATCAACACCATTTTCTGGCCTAATATGTGTTGGTACAATCATCTCCATCTGAGTTTGATGACCATCATTACCAGGCCTAAATTCAGCCGATGGAATATAAAACTCACATGTAGAACCATGGTGCAGCTCAGCATGCTGCACTAACGGAAAGAGCATGGGCCTTCCATCTACATACATGCTCTGTGTGGAAATCTCAGTAGCACAAGGAATGGCGGGATAATGGCAGTATCTATTTGCAGGTAGATGTGGCTGAACATCTAAACCTTCCTCCACATGTCTCAACGCTGTACTTGCATCATTTTCCTGCTGAGTGGCAGGCATATGATATTCCATGAATGATACATCGGTTTGGTTGATGTCAGGCAAAGTGCTTATTGACTTGGCATTTACACGTTCACCATGGTTAGGCACAGGTTGCTGATCACCATCACTTTGTATAGATTGTTGATCCCCATGGATTGGCATGGGTAGTTGATCGCCATGGGTTGGCATAGTTTGTTGATCACCATAGGTTGGCATAGGTGGTTGATCACCATGGTTTGGCATGCGTTCTTGATGACCATCGCTTGATCTTAAACGAGGTCTCTTCTTCCTAGGTTGTTTTTCCACTCTCTCATTGTGTTGTAATGGATGGGAATCATCATTGCTGATATAAGCCACAGGCTCGGCAACAATCGGTTGATTTCTCTGCTCATCTTTGGAAGACACTGAACCTACTCCATCATCAACATCATAATCACTGTCACTACTGAGAGCAGGTTGATTCTTATCACCATGTCCAACTCGGGGCATTTCAGTTATGCCAGATGTTCCATTATCACTTATAGGTTGCCGAATCAGAGCTTCCTCTTGGCTCAAGACCCCCAACCAAATTGCACTCTCCTTTGCTGTCATCTTATCCTGTAAACATTTTGACTTACGTATGTGCCTCCGGATCTTGGCGGTATCAGGCGACATGTGCTTTATCACAGCTGTTAACACTCCAACTTTCCACATCTTCTTAAGATCATGTGGCTTCTTATAAGGAGGACTTTGACCCTGTTGTAGCCCTAGTGTTACCCACCAATCTTCATTTCCAGTAGGCCACCAAGGCGGAGGAATTCTCTTTTCTAAGGGATACTTCCTCTGAGGGGGATCACAGTGCTGCATCAAAGAAGACAAGAGGGATCCAAGAGTAGCGTCTTGAAGGTCTTTGAGACTGGTATGTTGATTTCCATTTCTACCATTACCTGGCTCACTCATAGCTAAACAGTCCGCCTCATGCTTGGCTATGGCTGCAGGCCCATTCTTATCAAACTTCACCTTTTCTTTCCACCAAGCTCTTAGATTATCTGACGAACCACTTACAGGCTTACCCTTTTCTGGAATGATGCCATAGACAAATCCCCGGGCTTTGCAAACTTCCATTAGCTTCAACATGTACTTAAGAATCCCGTCTTGAGCTCGGGACATTTTCTTCCTCTGAGCTTGATCAGAGGTCTTCTTCGACTTTTGCCTTTCCGCAGCCTGTTGGGCAGTTATCTTCTGTCTTTCCTTAATCCTTTTGAGTTTGATACGATCTTTCCACATTCGTCTCTCCAATTCATCAGCTTCAATCTCTTCGTCACTGACATCTTTCTCCGCTATATTTTCACACCTCAAGTCATCCACTTCAATATCGGAACTGTCAACCATCAAATCAACAACCATCATAACATGCCCCATCAATTCAAACAGCACTGAAATCTTTCATTGGACGAAAAGGACAAACCATAAACCAAATTTGAACCTCAATCCCACCCTTTTATTTCTATGCAATCCACATTAATGAAGTTAACAAACCAAAAAAGAAAAAGAGAGAGAGCATTTTTTCAGTTTGCTCGGTAAAATATCAATTACAGAATCCCATTCCTTATTCATCAAAGAGCCTGCTTCTAAAGTCTAAAGGCACCAAACAATTAAAGTTACACTAATGTCAAAACAAATGCACCCCATTATATTTCCTTAATTCTTACATCCATAATCAAATCGTACGAAATACAAAATTGAATACTCCAATATTGAAAAAGGAATCTATTAAATTTATGGGTTTAACTTTTTTATTAGAAAAGTAAAAAAAAAGAATGGAGCTTTTACCTAATATCAGCTCTAATATCCTCCAATTCTGCCATGGAAAAAGGGGGTAAAAAGCTCGAAATCTTTAAACTTTGAATAGCGAGACAAAGGATTAGGAGATTAAATTGACTCTCAGGTCAAGGAAAGGATCTGGGGATTGAAATAAAGGATAAAAAAACAGAGGAAATCAGAGTGAAAATGGTTTTTGATTGCTCGATAAAAGATTGCGAATTTCAATGCAGAAAAAGTGTTGTGTCAGAGAGAGAAGGGCAGGCGAAGCCGAAGTGGAAGAGAACAATGTGGAATGCCCATTTAAGGAGGTCTAGTCTCCTGCTTTGCGTCCACATACATGCATTTGCTTCTTGTCTTTTATTGCCTTTTTAAATATTTTTTTTATTTTGACTTTTTTATTGTTACTTATGTAAATCAAATATGTACGATGGTAAAATATTATTAATCCAATTTGAAAGCAATAGGACTGATTAAAAATAATAAAGATAATGAAATTTATAAATTGATTGAGTGATAAAAAATTGTATATATTATTTTATTTTGTGTAGATTTAAATTTTATTTTATCTGTTTTATTAAATTTGATTCTTATTGATTTTTAAAAAAATTAAATTTTTAAAATTTGACCTTTATTACTTTTAATATTTTAAATAATTAAATTTTATAAAATAGATATTTAAAAACTACATGATTAGGGGTTTTTAAAATATTTTTTTTTATTTTTTTTCAATAATAAATTTTAAATAATAATGAGTCAAATTTTAAAAATTTATCAAAAAAAATAATAAGAGACTCATTTAATGGGAAAGAGAAAATAATATTTATTTTAAAAATACAATATCTTTTATTTAATAAATAATAATAATAATAATAAAATTAATTAGTATAATAGTGAGATTAAGTACCATGTCATAGGACAATGGAAATAAGATTAATGGTATGATATTTATTTTGATTCCATTATATTAATAACGTTGAGATTAAAGTGTATAATGTCTAGTAAGAACATAATATCAAAATATTATACATTTGCAATAAAAATCATTAAAAATATATTTATAATAAATAAAATATTATAAATAAAAGTATTTTTATAAAATATTAGTTATCGTTACGAATAATGGGCTATTCCTGCAGTTAAAATTCTAATAGATTATTTATGGACATAAGGACGTCACGACATTTTAAAATGACCGATATTATTTATGTCAAAGCCAAAATCTACCATCAATCTATGAATTTATTAGACATGTCAAACTACAATTTAACAATCATGATCATACGTTATAATCATTTTTAAATTGTAAATAAAAAAGAAATTTGATAAATTAAAATAATAATTTTTATTTTATTTTAGGAATTTTCGCATGGTTATAAAAATGTAATTTGATAAAAGATTAAAAATTAAATTGAACTCTAAAAATGAGAGTTAAAATAACAAAAATTATAAATATTAAGGGTTAAAATTGTTCCCGTACCTTAAGTTCATCACAACACAGCTTAAAAAAGGTGCCACTTCACCCTTTGGGTACAATTTAAATGAAATCATGGCTAAATTGATAATAATATAAATATTGAAGACTAAAATTTTAAATTATTTTAAGGTGGCGACAACTGAATTTTATTGGCCAAAATAAAGATGAAGTAGTTGAGTGACTTAAAAATGAAATTTACCCTATATATTTTTGGATATATATCCTTCTAAGTTTAACCGCATGGAAAGCTCATTTTAGAAAATTTCCCTTGCTGTTACCCTACCAGATAAACTCTGGTGGATGTTACGATCACAGACGCTCACGCGCCTCTCTCATTCCGAAACAGAGAAATAGAATTCTATAGAAAGGAAAATTACAAGTGGAAGTGAAGTAAATTATTTTCAATGAAGCAAATGATGAATTTGCCTCAATCGATGAACGCGCCTTTTGGAGGGGCCAGTGCCTCGAATCCAACTGCCGCCGGAGCTGCGGCGACGAAGGATCGGGAGATTATATCAGCGGAGCAGTTGGTTCTCGACCTCAGCAGCCCTGATCTCCGAGAAAACGCTCTTCTCGAACTATCGAAGGTAATTTAAGTAGTATTTGAATAAGTGGTTGATTCTTTTCATCTTCTCTTTTCTTTGTTCAAGAAGTAGGGTTTTGGCTTAAATAAAGTAGAAAATTTTGGGGAAATTTGAATTGATTTCTTATATCTTTTCTTTTCTATATATGTTTTGCTTTTAAAAGACATGAAAAATTGAAATGGGAATAGGAGTACGAAAATCACTGTGTCCAATCTGAAATGAAGAAACATATATGATTCCAAATATCGAATTAAAATACTTGCCCTACTGTGAGAGTAGGAAATTTGTCAGCATGTAACAATTCATCGAAGAAAGTGATATATGTGGACATTTGAGCGGCTGATTAATGAATTCATCGTGTAGAGTTGTCGTCTTTAAAAATAATTCATTTGGATTCAGTGTTACTGTTATCTTATAGAGGTTTATAAGTAAGTTAAATATTCCTGATTTTTTTGTGCGTATCGTATATCATGTAATTCCTACAACTTAATTTCCTCTTATGTTCATTCTCGTATGCAGTCATGCGATTTAGATGTTCAGCATGTCTCTGTTACTCCCATAAACCGGTATCTAGTGTCTACCTCTGTGTTTTTAAAACAAGGAACTATTTAAATATTTGGCTCTTTTTTGTGTTGAATTCATTTGGTACTATAGCTACACTATTACAGGTATGCCTAACGAACATTTATTGTTTCTTTTTTTAGAAAAGAGAATTATTTCAAGATTTGGCTCCATTGTTGTGGAATTCGTTTGGTACTATTGCTGCACTTTTACAGGTATGCTATTTAGAGTTGCTAGTTCAAAATTACTCCCCTCTTTCATCTCCCTTCCTTCCTTTTCTCTGCATGTTTTGTAATTTCTTATTCTCCCTTTTCAATTGAGCTTGATAGATAACTTGATATATTTATGTGATGATCTTTCTTCAATTGAGTACTACTACTGCTGTTGATTATCTATGCCTTAGTTATGGCCCATGTCTTTCATCAAGATGGTATGAGTTAGAACTGTAAGTTTGGACATGAATGTCAATGAAAATGAGGATATGCATATTATTTCAAGTTTAAGTGAAATATAAATGGATTTATTTCTTCAAAACTAGAACATGAAAGATGGTATGGTTATGGTGTTAGTTGGGTAAAATTCTTGTGCATCTTTGTAACATGCTTCATTTATCTGATCTGTGGGTATTGTGCATCTGCATGATTACTGCTGATGTATCCGTGTACTGCTTGAGTGTTTCCATATTTGACTTGGACTTTTTTAATGAGATTTACATTGTTCATTATTGTCTTTATAAACATAAAGCTATGGATTCCGTTTTCTTCATTTCTTTTTGTTTGTAGCATATCAAAAAAAATTTCTGGTGCAACCCCATTCACATGTAACATTATTTTTAGTATTCCCTACTTTAGGACCTAGTTAATAAGTTCGAAGAGGTGGTTGTATTAAGAGGGGATATAGAAAGGCTAACCTTAGTACTTTTTGGCTAATGAGAAATGGCTTACTGAGAATAAAATTGCAACTCAGTTTACTTCAAATTAAGTGTACATCTGATGTAATTGAATTTTTTGTTTTATGTGCATTCTTATCATACACATGGACATTGTTATTTTACGTGGAACATTTTAAATCATGGATTTTATTGGGTTCAGAACAAGTGAATTATTGTTGTTTTGAGTCTAATGAACGCTTTTAGATTTGATAGATGCTAGTTATATATTCTTTTATTCATTGAGTTGCTATTAGAAAATGAAAAATTAGTCCATTTTTGGGTCACACTGTCTCAGTTTGTTGATGCTAAATCATTTTTACTTACAGGAGATAGTTTCTATTTACCCTGTTCTCTCACCACCAAATCTAACTCCAGCTCAATCAAATCGAGTTTGCAATGCCCTTGCTCTACTTCAGGTGACATGTTTCTGGCCTTCTTTTAGTTCTTCTGTTATTTTGAATATTTACATCACTAATAGTAGCTTATTGCTCTAATGTTATGTTTTGCTTTTAGTTTGTTTGCACATTTTCTCATATTTTTGTTAAAGGGGAATAGAAGATAAAGTTTCCTGCTATTTTTGTTTGTTATTGTATTTGTCAATTCAGAGGCACTGCTAATGCATCATATGTTTCATCTTTGTTTACAGTGTGTAGCTTCTCACTCGGACACAAGGATGTTATTCCTAAATGGTATGTTCGTATCTGACAAGTTTGTTTGGTCTTGATATGTTTACTTTGTTGCTCAATGCATGAAAAGGATGCATTGAGAACCTGAGCAGCTAAGAAAATGAAAGAAATGGAAGACATAATTGAAGAGGGATAGATAACTAAGGTTCTGATTTTTCCAGAGACCTTGTTTTATTTAAAACTCTATTAACTTTTTGATAATGAATAATCCTATTAACTCTCTAGTAGAGTATTTGTACTAGAACTTTTACTAAAAGTTACATGCTAATCACATTTCCCATTAAATATTTAATAAAAGATATGAAACATAAACTCAAGTAAAATAGTGTAAAACACAAATGATAAAACTAAAGTCAATGCCCTTCATCAAAGGGGTAGTTTTGGTTTCACTGTGCATTGCTTTTCTTAATGTTATTTTCACCCCCTCTCATTTTCCGTCTTCGCTCCATTAAATGATAACTGCCAAATTTGAAATGCTTATACATTCGTGTTGTTAGCTGCTGCTTGTATTACATTAACGAAAGATCGTCTTTTCAGAAGCAATATAAAATTTTATGCGTTTAATCGATGCCTTCGAGGCTCTCACTGATTGTTTTCATCTGCAGCTCATATACCCTTATATCTGTATCCTTTCCTCAATACAACAAGTAAATCAAGGCCTTTTGAGTACTTGAGGCTTACTAGCTTAGGTGTCATTGGTGCCTTGGTGAAGGTAATTATTCATTCTTGGATTTAAGTTGATTGAGTTGCGTTCATTTTGATCTTTGTAGTGCTGTTATACATGTTAATGGAGCATGATAGGCTTAAGGAAATGCATGATTCAGTAATAGTACGAAAGAATTCTAAAGTCAAAGAAAATCATGGGGGAATTGAAGTGGCTATGTATGTTATCTATTACCATAACATACAGAATAACAAAGATGTTTACCCACTGCAATAAATAGAATAGAGGTATTTTGTATAATCTGTAACAGGTGATTATAAACTTGATGGTGGCCTTTGC